GATGCCCCCTCTGCCAATGGGGAAGCTGGCGGCAGCGAGACCACCAAGAGCTACACAGCAGAACAAGTCGCAGCTGTGAAGAGGTAGTGGGCATCCTGACAGACAGGGCTCTGGTGCTAGGCACTCCCTCCTTCACCTCTGATGCCCTGAAGTCCAGGCTGGGGGGCTCAGAAGACGGGAGGTCTGGGAGGACTTGTTGAATGAGGCCTACGCTTTGTTTCCCATGAGGCCCTGCATGCAGCATGGGAACCAGGGACAACCCACCCTGCTGGCCGCCTCACCTCTTTACACAGCGCTGCTTGTCAGAGGGAGCTGAGCCTGATCTTCCCTCTGAGAATTCCCCCAACAAAGACCCTTTGAGACCAGAGCCTGGGTGTTCAGGGTGCAGGCAGAAGACCAGCTCTGTGTCCAGCCATGGGCGGCCACCAGAGCAGTGGGCATGAAGCAGTGGGCCCAGCTTTTCAGGAGGGCGAGGAGGGCATAGTAGCTCCCATGCCTCAAGTCCTCCCCCGAGGTAGTCTCAGAGAACCAACCATGGCCATCTTTCACTCTCCTGGTTGCTGGTGAGGGCGATGCAGGCTCAGTGCCTTTGGCTCTGCCAAGTGACTGGTGAGGGCCGGACAGGCTCAGAACCCATGGCTCCAAGTGACTGGCCTGACTAAGACCTTATAAACCACATCCACAGTTCTCGTGGACAAGCTGCAGTTATCAGGCTGTAGGGACCAGAACCTGCCTTAGAGCAGTTGGTCCCCTCATAGCCTGCTCAGAGCTGTGTGCCCCCCAACTGTCCTCACCATCCCTCAGCACGCAGACCTGGGCCAGATTGGGGCATCCCTGCCATGCTCTTCTCACTCACCCAGGGTCAAGCAGTGTAAAGACTACTACGAGATCCTGGGGGTGAGCAGGGAGGTCTCAGACGAGGACCTGAAGAAGGCCTACCGCAAACTTGCCCTCAAGTTCCATCCAGATAAGAACCACGCGCCTGGCGCCACAGAGGCTTTCAAAGGTGAGCCACACTGTCTCCCGACATTTGGTTGTTCTTCTTGCCTGTAGAGTAGAAGGAAGTGGCCTTGGGTATAAACTCACAGGCTGTGGAACAATGTCTCTGGGAGAAGGCCCTGGTGTTCCGTGCAGCCGTGCATTATCTAAGCACTCATATGACGCCTTTCTCATCCCCACCCCCCAACACGTCTCTAAGGACACACGGTGAGAGCAGCAGGAACGGGCTTCCTCACTCCTCTTGTGCTCCTTTCCTCTTGTACTCTCATAATCGCCCATCGGGGTAACTTTTCCTGTTCTCAGGGGCATGGCAGCCCCGGAGCAGAGGCCTCAGGCCTCATCTGCACCAGCCAGCTTGCCCTCACATGCGCACACATTAGGGGCCTGCAATGGGAACACAGCAGTCTCTGGTCTTGGGCCTGCTGAGTCCAGGTGGGTGCTGCTATGCTGCCTTTTGCTCACCTACATTTTCAGTTGGCCTGTTGGGCTCACCTGCACCAGTCTGTCCATGTGGCTTCTCTCCAGACCTGGGAGTCCCGGGGTGTCTAGGTCACCCAGGAGTTGGAGCATAGTCAGCTGACCCAGCTGAGCTGAGCAGTGTGCTATGTGAGGCTAGCTGAGAACCTGGGACACACCAAGGTCCAACCGTAGGATCCCATCCCAGCTGCTGGGGGTTGGTCCCCGATTGGCATGGCCCGCAGGTGGCATCTCCAGCCCTGTGGGATATGGGAATAGGAGAGGGAGGGAAAGTGGCCATGTTCCCGCAGCCTTGACTTCTGCTGGCACCTGCCCCTGCTCAGACAGGCATGCAGGAGGCAGGTTTGGTCAGGCCTGACCTCCCTGTCTTCTTGGTAGCCATTGGCACAGCCTATGCAGTTCTCAGCAACCCCGAGAAGAGGAAGCAGTACGACCAGTTTGGCGATGACAAGAACCAGGCTGTCCGGCATGGCCATGGCTACGGGGACTTCCACCGCACGTTCGAGGCCGACATCTCTCCGGAAGACCTCTTCAACATGTTCTTTGGCGGTGGATTCCCCTCCAGTAAGTGCCCACAACTGGGTATGGCAGACTCCCTCCCTGATGGTGAAGATGAGGGGCTGGATGCCCATCGCTCCCTTTCCCAGATGCCCCCGCTCCTGACTTAGTGTCTCTGACTTCTGACCCCCAGGTAATGTCCATGTCTACAGCAACGGTCGCATGCGGTATACCTATCAGCAAAGACAGGACCGCAGGGAGAACCAGGGTGACGTGAGTGAGGGAGACGCCCGGGAGGGGAAGGGAGGGGAGGGTGCTGCCTGCCGCCCCAGCGTGGGGGGCCCACAACTCCAGTAAGAGCCTCCTTGGCCCGCTTGTCATTCTGTGTAGGGGCACCAGAGGGCGCCACACTCCACAGGGCCCGGGAGCCGGGGAATGCGCTGCGGCGTGTGCGGCAGAAACTGCTCCACCTGCAGGCTCGCTTCTGAATGACTTCTGTGTGGTCCAGTTGTTTACAGGCCAAAGGGAATCTTCCAAGCATTGAGTGGATTTACAATGAAAAGTTAAATTTCTTGAGAAAAATTGCAGAGGATGACAACATAGGTGCTAACTCTTCCTGCTTTACAGCACTCTTAAAATCATGTAGAGAAGACATAAGACAGTGCTTCACACACATTAGACGAACCTCAGACAGAGTGACAAAACTAAAATACTGTGGAAATTTGAAGACCATTTAAAATTCTTCCAGGCAGAGGGATCTTTTTGCTCGGACAGCGTGACCTTCTGTTTTTATTTATTCACTTTTTAAATTCTTGTTTTTTGTGTATGTAACATACAGAAAAATTTTCTTTTAGCCACAAATTATCACACAATGAGTAAATTTTTTAATTTCTGGGTTTTTACTGGCTAATTTTATAACTGACAGTGTATTCTTGTGGCACAGAATTCAAAACCTTCCATGGTCCTGGAAAGCACCCACTTCTTTCCCATGTTTCTCACAAGCCTATCTCCTGCGTAGAACTCAGGTCACAGTTTTGGTTTTATCTAGGAAAGGTGGCAGGTGGAGCACCTGGGTTAATGGGACCTACAGGCGTTGGGAGACTGGTGGCCTGGCCTGTGGCACGGGCCAGTATGGTGAGGGGGACCTAGTCAGTGCTGGATCCAACCAGGTGACCGGTGACTTTCCCTCCAGGGCGGGCTGGGGGTGTTTGTCCAGCTGATGCCCATCCTCATCCTGATCCTCGTGTCAGCGCTCAGCCAGCTCATGGTCTCCAGCCCACCCTACAGTCTGAGCCCGAGGCCGTGAGTACTGCAGCCTGGGGGGGTGGGGGGCGGGAGGCGGCATGGGGAGCAGAGTGAGGGAGCTGGTTATTGCACAGGAGGCTCTGCAGTCTCTCCTGACCCAACAGAATATGCTTTCCTGATTGAGCCGAGAATCTTTTTCAGATTACAGTTCTAAGAAAAGGCCACAGAAGCTACAGGCGGTTTCCCTAGAACAGTGAGCATAGACAGCTGTACACTCATGTGATTGTGTGTCATGATGTACGCGCAGCCAGGTTCTTATCTGTAGATACCAAGTTAGGGGTCTCTTCAGGCAGAACACCTAGCACCTCGTCCACTCACAAAGCAAGTGTGTGATTCTGGGCTACCCACTCACCTTCTCTCAGCCTTAGCATCCTCATATTGATAACTAATGCCATCTGCTCACTTGTCAAAATTAAGGACCCTCTGATGGAGTAGCCCGTAGGGTGTTGTACTGATAAGTCTGGCGGTTCACATCCACCAGTAGCCCCAAGGGAGAAAGATGAGCAGTCTCCACCCATGCAATTTACAGCCTTGGAAACCCACTGGAGTGTCAGCTGTGAGTCAATTCTGACTCAACAATGATCTGAGTTGAGAATACACATGGAATACCTGGCTCATTAGAAGTGCTTAGCAACATCTGTTAGGTGAATACATGATCTGAATTGCCAGTAGTGAACTCAGGCAAGTTCTTGTACTATTTAGACATCCGCCTCCCTTGTGGATTTCCAGCACCAACTCGCTGATGTGTTTGGTGCTTGAGCTCCATCCCAGGAACCTGGCAGTATCACTCTGTGCCAGCAGGGGGCAGGCCTGGGCCACTAGACCCACACCATCCTCTGCAGGCTGACATCAGCCCTTTTCTCTGCAGCTGCAGAGAGGAGGCAGTGGCTTTTTCTGGGACGGGCAGGAGCTGTCTGCACTGAGGTTTTTATACCCTTGGAGTCCTGCAACCCTAAGAGCTGCAAAATTACAGCTTCTTGACATTTCTTGTCATTTTGACCCTAACTGAGCCCCTTAGCGCTGGTCTTGCACTTCCTGCCTAGGCAGGTGAACTCTCAGCAGCTGGCTGCTTAGGGAATGGAGGAGGAAATGGAGACACAGCAAACTCACATCACACAACTTGTCAGAGGTGGAGTTGGGTCCCTTCCTCCCTGGCTAAAGCCTCTGCTCAGAGAGCAGCTTCTGCCCCGGACTCCCCAGGGTCAGTATGTGGTAAGCACAGGGCCTGAGAGAGGGCTTGCCCAAACTCAGGCTCTCAAAAGAGGGACCCATAACTTTTCTTTAGATGCTCATTTTGACTGGTGTGCACATTCATGCTCTTAACATCACCAACCACGTGGCACCTCCTTACCTGGGCCCCCGCCAACCCTCGGGACTTGCGCCCACTTACTATTCTGTCTGCTCCTGACCAGGTCAGTGGGTCATGTCCACAGGAGGGTCACTGACCACTTGAACGTCATCTACTATGTGGGAGACACCTTCTCTGAGGAATACACAGGCTCCAGCCTCAAGACAGTTGAACGGAACGTGGAAGATGATTACATCGCCAATCTCCGAAACAACTGCTGGAAGGAGAAACAGCAGAGTGAGTGGGGGCAGCAAGGTGGCAGGGCTCAGAAGCACAGACAAGAGCCAGCCCTGGTCATTCAGGGATGTGTGGGCCCCAGACTCCACTATCACCTTGCCCTGGGGCTAGTATAGGAGGCCACCTGTCAGTTGTACATTTCTCTGAAGTTCTTAAAAGCCACTGTTATCAGCCTTTCATTTTGCTGGAACAAGTCTCCTGGATACCTGTGGATTAGACATCTAAGTCAACTCCGGCTGACCTGCTGTGGAGTCTATGGAAAGGGCCATCTGGCCAGCTCCAGGGCCAATACCTGCCCTGCCCACCCTCACCTGCAGGCCCAAGCAGGCTTCCCTGTACCCATCAGGAGGTACTGGCTGCTCCCTGACTTTGTGCCATTGCTTTGCAGAGGAAGGTTTGCTGTACCGGGCCCGCTACTTCGGTGACACAGATATGTACCACAAAGCACAGAAGATGGGCACCCCAAGCTGTAACCGACTGTCAGAGGTGCAGGCCTCCCTACATGGATAGTCCTGGGTCAGCCACACCACCGAGGTCCAAGTATGCGCCAGGACCACCTCTGCCCTACAGCTCCAGCTGTTTGGCCTTGGGGAGTGAGGGGGCTGTGTTCATGGTGGAGCTCTTGTCTGTCTCAGTCCTCTGGTGACACTCCCCCAGTCCCTCTAACCCCTCCTTGACCAAGGCTATCCAGGAGCCCAAAGTGTTGCTGAGATTCTTGTCCATTCCAGCCACCAAGTCACCTGCACAGGCAATTAGCCTGTGCCCCACTATTTAGACTGCCAGATATTTGGGCCCAAGTAATGCCCATGCAGACAGCCCTCCTAACACTGGGGGAGATCTGTGCAGAAGGGGAGGGCCAAGAGCCTTTCATCTCCCAGCCTCTGAGGAGGAAATGGAATAAGATGAACCAGGGAGTGATGACGGGCAGGGTGGGAACCATCAGGCTCTGAGGGGAAGAGGCCTGCCTGAGTGCCGTGCTTGTTCCCTGCTGGTGGGACCAGAACTCTTGAATGCCTGCAGCACCTGGCAGGAGGGAAGCCACAGGCATCCGGCCGCCTAAGCATCTCGCCTGTGGTCAGAGGAAGGGAACAGGAGGTTACAAGTTCAGGGCTGATGCCAAACTGCTCCATACATCAGAGTGGGGGACAAGCCAGGGTTGCTTGGTAGCAAGCTACCACCGACTTCCTTCCCCCTCTGCGTGGGTGGTGGGCTGTGTTCCCAGTATTTGCCAGAGCGGGCAGCTGGGACCCAGCCCAGAGGAGTGTAGGCAGAGCCCAGAAGGTTCTCTGCTGGTACCCTGCCCAATGCCTCTGCCATGTGTCCTGGGGAGGAGCCAGCCACACACTCCACGCTTCAGGGACATTTGTTAGTGTCCCCAGGAATTGAGTGGAGGATGGGGGCATGGGCAAAATGGGCAGAACATAGCAGATCCCCAAGTGCCCTAAGCTGGACATCAGGACCATCAGTTAACTATTTCCTTCTCCTCCCCAGACTATGAAATCCCTGGAGAATTTTTGGTGACCTACACTGAGCCAAGTGATGGACTGTATATTTAAGGAAAGACATAAAAAAAGGGGAAAAAAATTAAAGTGGAATTGGAGGCCGAACACCGCACAACTGCCCTGTCTCTCACCCAGTAAATGCAGCCTGCTCTTAGGACAGACAGGAAGGCCTGCCCCAGGCCAGCTCCTCAGCACGCTCTCCTAGGATACAGAAACCATGGCAACGAAAGTAGAATGTAAAACTTGCAGCAAATGTCTGTGGGAAGGGCTGGGGGAGGGGCCTGCCACTGCCACCTCTCAGAAGCCAGAGAGGAGAGGAGCCTTTCCTTGGAATGTAATTTATAGATGCATGTATATGTATATGTATATATCTATTTATATGTAAATAGGCATATATAAAGATATATATATATATACACAGTCTTCTTAAACTATGCAGGGATTTGGTGGTTTAACCAGTTTCTTCCCTGTTTTCGAAAGCGAGGCCTGTCTGGGGAAGGCCACCGGGTCTTTTAGAAGCCCAGCTTGGCCGTAGCTGATGGCGTAACACAAGTCAGGCCACTTGTTCCCTGTCCTGGCCTGTCTTAGAAGGCAGCAGTGATCATGAATGGTAATACAGCTTCAGTGACAGCTGTGAGGGCCACCAGGTTTACGGCAAAGCTGGAGGGAGCACCCTGAGGCGGGGTGAAACGTGTCTTTGAAGGCAGTTACGAGGTCAGTATTGAGTCATGGTAGGGGCCACAGACTGGACCCTACCCTCAGGTAGTTTCTGGTTTCCAGAAACTCTGCCAGCTGAGACAGGTGGGGTCTGGGAGGGAGACTTCATCTCCCCTAGCCCAGGTGGATTTTGCCTTAGAGGTGCCCAGGACACAAGCACATGCACTGATTTTTCCTAAGTCTGCACTGAGGATTCCAGAAGGTTGTTCATGGATCAGCAGACAGTGCCAGGACCTGAGAGCGCCAATACCATGGGCACGTGTCTGCGCCCTCCACCACGTGACTTCACAGGAGCCTTTCCCACCTTTGGACAGAACCTCCACCCGGACCATAGTGGTTTTCTTATTCTCACTTTTGAATGAGAGTTTTCTCAAAATAACACTTGATGCCAGGGGACAGGAAGGCATTTTTGTTTATCCCAATGGTTTATACTGGGCCTTTTGGGATCCTCTGTTTCCCCTGGGTTTCCCTCTGATGGTGGGTGTCTCTAGCCTGCCACCTTCCGAAGCCTTATGTCCCCACGCTGCCAGCCCAGCCAGGAGGAGCTGACTCCTCTCAGTTTCTCTTGGCTTTTTTGGGTTTTGTTTTGTTTTTTAAATTCCCCCAACAAGTACGATTCTTGATGGGCAAAGGAAGCTTGGTGAGGAAATGTCAGCTGTGTTTTTTAAGCAAGGTCCTGTGCTGTGATAAAGCGGCCACCCCAGCCCAGAGAGCTGCTGGGAGCTGGATGAAGGCACAATGCCACCCATTGGTGTGTCACCCTCTGCCTCCACCCAGCCGTCTGGTCTCGGTCAGTGTCCCGGACAGGCTGAGCCATGTGCAATAAGAACACCGATCCTAATGGATGCCCCTGAAAAGCTGTAATTCTTGAATTAGAATTCTGAAATTGTACATCTATAAATATATGTTTATTATGTGACTGGCTGCCAGTGGGTCTGCATTGAGGTGGAGGGCCACACACTCTTGCTGCTGGCCCAGCCCTGGCCACAGGAGGCTTGGTGGCAAGTTTAAATTTCCCTTTGTCCTAGCTGACAGTCACTTCAGCCACTGGGGTCCCAGACCCTGGAAGGCAATCCTCCACAGACCCTCAACTTCTGCTTTCCCTGTGCCGGCTCCCTATGTCTGATCTGTCTGGTTTACCTGAGGAGTTGGTGGGCAGGACAGATTCAGAATCCCCCCAACCCCCAGTCCAGCTGGGAGCTGCCCCAGCCGGGCCCAGGGTCACCTTGTGGGGATGAGGAAACAGCTCTCCAAGTTTCTGTCCCTCTGTTTTTAACAACCATCCTTCCCACACCACCTCCAACCGCAGGGGCCCTTCCCTGGGGAGGTCAGGGAAAGTTAAAAATGTAGCTGCCTTGACTGGGCTGGCTGGGAAGGCTGCAGATCTGCCTGGCTCCCAAGACCGCATGGCCTTGAGTGGCGGCCCCAGGCCCCTCCCGCTGCTACGCCAGCCAAAGACAGGCGAGCTGCCTGGTGGTGCCACTGCAGCTGTGGAGCTCATTGGTTGTCCCTCCCGGGGTCACTGCAGCCTGCCCCGTCCAGCTGTGGGGGGCGGGTGGGCGTGAGCCACCACTTGTTAGCTGTGGTTGGCAGAGGTGTTGCCAATGAACACCCCCCTCCCCTCATTCACCCATACACCTCCCTCCAGATGGAGACTGGCTGAGAAGGGGCGGGACAGACTCCATCTGTTTGCAACAGAAAAGAGACTTGACAAGTAGCCTCCACCCACTATCTGGTCTACAGGAGCCCCTAGACCTTCCTAGCTCCCAGGGACTTGCCATCTTACCTCTTCCTATGCTGCACCCCTTCTAAAGAGGGGACTTGCTTTAAGGGAAGCACCTGGACTCTCTGGAACACCATCCCCACCTTGAGTCATCCAGCAGTCACCTGGCCACCTGGGCTGGGCACACAAGCAGGACCAAGACTAGGTAAACAGACTGTTGGAAAGCATCATCTCTTCCAGTCTGTCTCCAGTCAGCCCATTTCCCAGAGCAGGAAACAGAGGCTTGGGGGAGAAATGTCAAGGGTATCCATGAAATGGTGCATGTCCTAGAGGTCCCTGTGGTAAAGCAGTCAGTCTACATTTACTGAAAACCTGTGGACGGAAGTGGAACCTTAAAGGAAAGGCCCAAAGGAAGTGGAGCCTTAAAGGAAAGGCCCAAAGGGGATTCTGAAAAGGGGGGACCCACTAGGGCTCAAGTGGAATGGTGGAGGCCAGTGTCCAGCCTTGGGTGGAAGAGATGGGGAATGGCTTAAGAGGTTGAGCTACTTGTTCAAGCAACCTACTGAATGGGGGGGGGGGGGGTGTACTCTCCCAGAAGTGAGAAAGGTGTCCACTTCTTTGAGCCTGCCTTGTGCCCCTGTCTGTAGCAGGTAGGTAGCCATCGTCGCTGTCTAGGCTGGAATCCTGACTTGGCTGTTTACTGACTCTCTGACCTTGGGCTCTCTCTTAACACTCCTCTGCCTCAGTGTCCTCATCTGCAAAGTGGGACTCATAAAAACACCTACCTCATGAGATTGTCAGGATTTAAACAACTCTTACATACAAAGCATTTAAAACAGTTCTGCAGAATATTTATCACTAGGCAGATGAACTGAACCCTAGCTGTGTGTGGTCCATTCCAGGCACTGAAACCACAGGGGTGGGTAATGAGGGAAGTGGGAGAGGGGGTGAGCCAGTGCTACAGGGGCTGGAGGATGGAACAGTCCAGGGGGTGTGACAGGTCAGGTAAAGAGCCTGGCATTGTGAGGTGCCAGGTGTGGGCAGGACTCAAGGTGGAGGGAGTGCTCCAGCCAGAGAGAGCGGTGAACAAAGGCCCACAGGTGAGACGGTCTAAAAATACATTCAAGTGAACACCAAGTCCTCAGTCTAATTCATCTAGTCAGTCATATCCCAGGGTCGTGAGCAGGGACTAAATGAACTAGAGACCCTGAGTGTCCCAGATCCTGGATGTCCCCTCTGCAGTCACAGAGTTTGTCCAGAATCTAGGTTCTTGGGAAGGCTCCCTGGCAGGAGTGGGCCCTGTAAGGCTAGTGAGGGCATATGGGGCCTCCAGAGAGGCCTAGAGTCCCCAGGCTGAGCGGCTTTGGTCACACTGTCTACCCGAGGACCCACATTGGGAGTGGAGATGAAGTTTATCCCCCATGGAGAGGTGTTCCCAGGACAGAACCCAGGCCTCTTGCCCAATCTGATGGGCAAGAACAAAGCTTCATGACCTGTGGGCCACCCCAGGCCTAGAATTGGGACTTTGTTAGATTTGGCCCCTCCAGTTAAGACTAAACAAATCCCCAGAGAGGGTCACCTCCTTCTGTGGCTGAGACACCTAGCTCACCTTTTCTTGGGGAGGTGAGCACAGGGGAGGTCCGGCCAGGGCCTCACTCCCTCTTGAGGGGGCACCCTGCCCTTACTGCCACCCAATTGTTCCTGCTTTTCTCATGCTCAAAGCTGAGGACACCCACAAGACAGAAGCCTGAGCAAAAGATCCTGGGTCTTATTTTACAGATGAAGTGGAGGCCAGAGTGAGGGACTCAAGCCTTGTTGCCCCAAACTTCCAGAGACCCACCCCAGGTGCTCACTAGAGCATGCCACCCTACCCATGAGGATCTTTTCCTGGTCTATGGGGGCCTCCTCTCCCATCCTTCCCTGCCACCACTTCTCAACCCCTCTTCAGCCCACCCCACCCTGGTCATGTGCCTTAAGCCTCCTGGGCTGGTCCCTCAGGGGCCCCATCATATTGTAAATCTAGAGGTGTTTGTGTGGTAAAGACCTTTCCCTCTGAGAGGCAGAAACTCTTACTCAGAGCTGCTGCCTCTGGACAGGGTTCAGTGGGACCCTGTGAACACTGCTGAAGGAAGGAAGGGAGGCGCCCTCTGCACCTCTCTGGACACCAGTCCTGCTTGTCCCCTGTGACCCCTCAGCCTTATGTGCTCCGCTGCCCAAAGCCACACTGAGGGCACCAAACCCCAGCCAGGAACATCTGCCAGGCTCAGCTCTTGTGGGGCAAAAATTGAGTTTAGTGGTTTTGGTGAGGTTGGTGGGTTAGGTGACATCTCCCACCTCAAGGAAACAGTCATGTGGAAATACCCCAGGTCCAGAGGTACAAATGAGAATTCCACCCAGTGCCTATCCCCTGGGGGACCAAAGCCCATGCCCCAGAGGTCACAGCCCAAAGAAGAGAGGCGACACTCCTGGAGGAAGACCCTGTCTGCCCCTTGACCCTGGCGCTGCCTTGATCACAGGCCTCAAGGTCACCTCGATTAGTTTGCCACCTGCTGCTGGCTGCCGTCTCAGTGCAGGGTGCT